TCACAAGCAAATTTCGAACACGAGCCGATTTCGAACACAAGCTATTTCGAACGAGCCGAACACGAGCCAAGCCTGAGCTCGCTCAAGCTCGGCTCGTTTACAACCCTATAAGGGACCTCACGACTTGTTGTAAAAGGATTTATTACAGCTTATTTGACCCTGCATTGTATGTTGGAAGCAAGGTAACATTTGAAAGCTATGTTCATACATCGCACTTAAACATCTCTATTTACATATTTCAAACTCTAAACTTTCTATTTACATATATAGCATTTAAATTCCTACTAATATCTCAAAAATAATATACAATCGCTCATTCGTCATCTACCTTATTAAAATATTGCTCATGAACATCTTAAAACAATGAGGACCACCAAATCACCATAACTAAATGAGAAACGTAGCTGCTCTAATGATGAAATCCGACAAATCCATATAGATTACATCCTTCACTCCAAGCACCTTTTGCATAATCACTTGGACTCCCTCCAACTTCCAAGATCATCCCAACCACTTCCAATCCACCGGCTACCCCATAACCATCAAGAAACACCAGCTTGAATGGAACTGAAATGGCTATACCTGCACCAATGCATCATGGTGATTTTATAACATGTATGGTCATATGATGCACCTCCTTTGGCTTCAACGTCGTCGTTGACTAGAGTTTAGCCAATCTCAATGAGGTTTTGGCAGCAATGTTGTTCATCTAGGTGTTTGGCAAAGAGGTTTTGGCTGGAGAGGTGGAGGCAATAGAGGTTGTTGGAAGGGGAGGTAGAGGAGGATTTCAATGGCGGTGAGAGGGGAGTTGGATCCAAATTGCTAGATGACTTCAAGGACATTGAGGCAAACAATGGCGTTAAGGACCATGACCACGAAGAGCATATTGGAGATCATCATCACTAGTTAGAATACTTCTTACTTCATGATTAGATGTCAACATGTTACTTTTTTATTTTGCACATTTTATTACTTATTATTATGTTAAAATATTAATATATTACTTTTGAATGAATTAATAAATTAAAATGTTAATATACTAAAGCTTTATTTGTAATTTGAAATTAGTACAAACTTTTTTTACTTTATATAACTTGTCATTTTGAGACTTACATCTCACCTTACGAATAAAAAACTTTTAGTACCCAATTATATAATTTTAAACATTGATAAATATTAGTCATTTTTATATTTAATTATTTCGATAGAAATATTCTAATAATTAATGATATTACAGTAGATAATAATGTGCTAACAAATTGTTGCCAATTGACTATTTGTTAATGGTTTTTTATCCTTTAATTGATAGACAGGAAAATTTTGACTAAGGTAAGATAATTGATAGCATGAATAAAATTCATATTTTGGATGTGGAGGCACTTCTTTATTGATATATTTCAAAATTTTGAACCATAATCTAATGCGAGACATAAAATTATTTCATGAGAAATTATCCCCTCATTAGAGTCTGAGGCTTGATTGTTACGCTGCTATCTCATAATCTTGTCATCTCTTTTCTCTTCTTTATTATCTTTCTAAAATATTTTTTTCAAGGAGTGGCATTTAACAAAACATCCAAATATAAACTAATTGTTTATCTTAAATACGGAAAGTTGAATAAAATAACCTTATTACACACACTATGTGCAACATTAGAGAAGGAAGTACAGTTAAATGATCTCAATCTGCTCATTGATGTATAACTAAGAACTAGGCATAACTAAATATATATGTATAAATAAGCAACCATCAAGAGCAAAATACATGGATAACTAAGAACTAGGCTACACCGATTATCTTCCTGTTGACACAATCAGAGTCAAATCCATGATGAAGCTAGGAAAAATATATTTCTCAAAAAAATATAATATTCCGGTTGGTTCTTGTGTTGCTTGGCTAAATTCATCCCAAGAAGCAAAGTAAAATGCGTCCATATCGATAGCTACAGTCATGTTTATAATAGTCTCACATCTCTTTCCTCATCCATATCACAAGATTTCCATTCATAAATGTAATTGATCAGCCAACATTACGTATATAAAGATAAGGAAGTAGACAAAGTGAGTTAGGTTCAATAGCGCAATGACTTCAGATGTAAAAAACAACATGCATAAAAATTAATATATGAAGAGTATTAACCCATATGCGTCAATAAGCTCTGAATTGTAGTAATTAGAAACAAAATTAAAAAATCGATCGGAAACATCAACAAACTCAAACCTTAATTATATATTCCATCTTATAATGTATAAGCAAAATAAAAGATTTAAGAAAACCCAAATAAAGCAGGCATGATTAATTCCATGGCAAGGATAGTTCTCTGCCCAACAAAAGATGCGCAAAGTAACAAAAGGATTTGGCAAAAAAATACAATAAACTGGAAAAGATGCGCAGCACAGTGCACGTCAAAAGGAAATTCCGCAGGACTTTATGAGCCCTAGGAACGATTTCACATTAAACGATTCAAAACTTTACACATTCGCAATAGAACTCCAGTGCTCTGCTACAGATTTAAGAAAGATTGGAGAAAGAAATTTGCGGAAGGTTCACCGTGAATGACAAGCCCAAAGAGATTTCGAGTGTGAGGACTGCGGCGGGAAACGGCGAAGTCCTCCGGTGTGAGTTTCGACAACTTTTCCTAACGGCTCGACCGACAGCAAGGCCGCTGCAAGTATAGACGCGAGATAGAAAATTGGATGAAGCTGGTTGCGATTAGGGTGTGCATTATTTGGTAATAACTGGCCGAACCGAACCGAACCGAACCGAACCGATATGTTTGGTCGGTTTGGATCTGTTTCAAAATTAATTTTGATTTTTTATTTTATAGTTTTAATATTTAAGATTATTGGTTTGATTTTAATTTTTATTTACTGAAACAATTAAAAAAAAATAAAAAGTTTTATAATATGAGCATTTAATTTTTTTAATAAATTTATTAATAAAAAATTTTATAAATCTAAATAAATAAGCAATTCAATAACTTTTAAATTGCATCTAATTAATTTCTATCAGGTAAATAAAATGATATATAAAATATAAATAAACTTTCATATAATCAAATAGTGTTGATAACTCTTTATAAAAGTTTATTTTAATTTTGCATGAATCTCGTAGCATTTCGACTAATAAACATTCTAGATTCAAATTTTAGATCATACAGGCCCCGATTCCAACAAGTTTATTGTCAAACTGACTCGCAACAAAGCAAGCCCAATGAAGACAAAACTGGTTTGATCTGAGTCCAATCAAGCTCGGATCAAGTTGTTTAAGTGCAATTAAAGACTTTGGACGGACAATTGAAGGATCAAATGGATTTCAAATATGACAAGCATATAGTAAATCGAGCATCTCGTTGAGTTGAATCCAACGACCCATGATTACTCAATTATGACATTATCAACACACTCAAATGCTCATAGAATGTCATCCAATCAAAGAGATCGCTCTGAGTCGTCCGATAGAGTCCGGATTCATTTGATATTTATGGTGATGTCGCTCACAAAATATAGAAATAGACCATCGTTCTCTTCATGTAAGGGAGACTTGGGATCTAGACCTAGGATAGAATGATGTGAGAGCTCCTAGCTCATAAGGATTTCTAAGCTTCACCGCCGTCGACTAGTCGCCGCCACCATCGGACCATTGGCCTCGCTGTTCGACAACATTTTTTGTCCAAAGATGGATGCTCTCTGTCTTCTTCTTCATAAACTCTTCCAAGTGGGTGGATTTATTATTCCCATCTAAGCAAAACTGTAGCTTTTATTATGTAATTTCCATTTTCAAGTCCTACGCCATAGTATCTTAATAAGGAAGGTGACATGCTTGTCTTGTAGTTTGAAACAGTTGAAGCCAGTGTGTTCTGAATTTCTATTTGTTTTTCATGAGGTGAAAAAAATATAGCGAGACATGGAGAATGAGTTAAAAACTGATGAACCACGGTGTGCCTCTGAAGACACTCCAATCCTAACGATAATACACTGAAACTTGCTGACATCCCACTTTCTCCAATCCTAGATATATGGAGAATGACTTTACACATCCCGCTTGGTTAACATCCCATGTTCTTACATTTGTAGAACAACACTAGGATTTTTTTGCGAATGTTTAAAGTTTTGAATCATTTAATGTAAAATCGTTCATTGGGCTCATAAAGCCATGCCAAATTTTCTTTTGATGTGCAGTGTGCTGCGCATCTTTTTCAATTTATTGTGTTTTTTTTATCAAATTTCCTTTTGTTACTTTGTGCATCTTTCGTTGGACATGGAACTATTTTTGCAATGGAATTAATCATGCCTGTTTTATTTGGGCTTGCTTAAATCTTTTCTTTTGCTTATACATTATAAGATGGAATATATAATTAGAGTTTGAGTTTGTTGATGTTCATGACCGATTTTTTACTTTTGTTTCTAATTACTACAATTTAGAGCTTATTGACCATATGGGGAAGGTGCGACGCGAGCCACCACAGTAGGAGTAGCTCAATATGCACCACTCCCATTTTCAGGGGGAGGGCATTGAGCAGATGCCTCAGCGGACGTGAAATTACCAATGGTAATCCTGATAAAATGCTTGAAGGAACTGAAGGTTATGATACTCTTGACAGCATGGAAAAAACTATGAGAGAAAGAAACAGAGTTCCCTCCGGTAGAAGAGATCGTGACCACCTTCTCACTCATCATGTCTGCCAAGCAGAAAGAGACAACGATCACAAATAGAGAAATGTTAAGAAACCAATAAAAAAAGGTACAACGACATCAATGCATATGACAGTGCAAAAACCAAACTGTCAAGAGTAAAAAAAAGGACAAAATAACAATAAGGTGCTAACCACAGTAACTGATACGTGGATTCAAAGTCCAAGGTCTAAACAGACACAAAGGTAGTGACACTACGAAGAAAGAAACTAGGTCACTATAAATGCAAACATAACCACTAAAGTTGAGAGAAAGTACTACTCCCAATGGGCCCGCCTGTTAGGTATGACTCATATACCATATAAGAGACAGATGCTGGAACGAAGCAAAACGGAGCGGAAGAATCTGTCCAAATCAAGGGAGTTTCATTATGTGGGTTGGGGGTGCGGCTGAAACGCCCCGCAGCACGGCATAAGGGTAATTTGATTTTATCAAGGGTTATATATAGGTTTGTTTGTAACCCTAGGCTATTCTATATTGTATTTTGTATCCTGCACTCTTTTTCTGGAGTTGAAAGAAAACTGCTGCTCTGCTCCTGAGGACATCATCTTTGTCGAACCTCGATAAATCTGTGTTCTTCTGGATTTGTGTCGATTTTTATTTTTCTTCACCCTAATTTCTCAATAAGTGGTATCAGAGCAAGGTTCTAGGGCAGGTAAGAAAAATTTCGGCGGCGCAGAAATAAAGAAGATTTTGACTGAGGAGTTTGGCGGGATGAAGATTATGGCGCAGAGGAGGATTTGGCGGTTTGGATTCCGACATGAAGGTCGAATTTGGCGAAGCTTGGTATTTGTGAAATGGGTGTTCAGCGCAGGCTAGGGATTTGCGAATCGGGTGTTCGACGAGGCCTTCTTCTACGACCAGGGAGTTCGGTTGCGACCAGAACAAGCGCGAAGGGTTTCATGAAGGTGTTCGGCAGTGGTCAATTCGGTGAGACAGGCGTCGGCGAGATCGGCAGAGGTGAATCGCGGGCATCACACAAATTTGGATCGTGACAGAGGAATCACAACTGGTTTTCAGCAAAAATCGTGGTGTTCACGATTGCGACAGAGAAATTGCGGCCGGTTTTCAGGCGGGATAGGAATTGCGGCGTTCGCGGTCTGGAGTAGTACACGTGAGCGAATGAGGAATTGGAAGGGAATCTTCATATTCCACTAGAAGGAATTTCCTTTGCTAGAGGCTGCTGCGGAGGTGAAGAAAGTAAATTTTCTCCTGGCCCGTGGAGAGGAAAATTGGAAGGAAATCAAGGAAATCTTTCATTTCTGCTAGAAGGAATATTCTCTCGATTTGGAAAGGAAATTTTTCTGAAATTGCTTTTCTTGAAAACTTAATTAAATGAAATATTTAATTAAAGCAAACTTAATTAAGTGAATATTTCAATCCTTTTTCGAAAAAAAATTTGTTGCTTTTCTAGGAAATTTAATTAAGAGAAACTTAATTAAGAAAACTTAATTAAGGAAATATTTCAATATTTTTTTTGGAAAGATTTTGAGCAGGGAATTGCAGAGAAATTTGCAGAAGAGTTCGTTGTAAGATCAATTTCAAATGATAATTTTTAGTGCAAAATTTGAGGTGGTGAAGTTCGATGGAACTGGTAACTTCGGATTGTGGCAAACATGAGTAAAAGATATGTTGGCACAACAGAGAATCTTGAAAGCTTTGCGGGCAATGAAATCATATGCCACGAATGATGAAGATTGGGAAGAATTGCAACAACGAGCGGCAACAACCATACGTTTATGTTTGACAGACGATATTATATATCATGTGATGAATCAAAAATCTACAGGGGTGGTATGGAAGAAATTGAAAACTCAGTTTATGTCTAAATTTCTAACGAGTAAATTGTATCTGAAGCAAAAACTGTATGGGCTGAAAATGCAAGAAAGTTCTGATCTGACACAACACATGAATGACTTCAATCAACTAATCACAGATTTAACACGACCTGATGTGAGTATTGAGGATGAAGACCGAGTAATAATTTTGTGTTCATTAACTTCTTCCTACGAACACCTGGTGACTACTCTTACATATGAGAAAGAAACTATCAAAGTTGATTAGATTATTGCAGCATTGTTGGCTCACAACCAGCGAAAGCAAAATGCAGGGGAAAACTCTCATGGCGATAGTTTATATGTTAAAGGTAAGCATGATCGTGAAAGGAAGAAATAGAATGAGGGTTCTGAAAGGCAAAATTTCAGATTAAAGTCCAAAAGCAAAAAAGTCAATTTATCGCTACAAGTGCAAGGAGCCGGTTCATATGAAGAGAGATTGTTCAAAGCTCAAGAAGCAGACTAAGGAGAAACTTGATGCATCATCAAAGTCTGTAAATTTGGTGCAAAGTGAAAATTCAGATTGCAGTGATGATGATATGTTTTCAGTTTCATCAACTCAGTTCATGGATGCATGAATTCTTGATTCAGGATGCTCTTATCACATAACACCTTACATGGAGTGGTTTACTTCATACATGTTAACTAATTTTGGCTCAATCTATTTAGGTGATGAGTGCTATTTAGGTGATGATAGATGCTGCAATATTGTTGGTATTGGTGAAGTCATAATTTAGATGTATGATGACACTGTTAGAACATTATGTGATGTCATGCATATTCCAAATCTGAAGAAAAATTTGATTTTCATGGGCACTTTACATAGAAATGATTTTATTCCTAAGACAGATGAGGATAGAGAAACCATCAGAATTGTTAAGGGTGCACTGACTGTGATGTAAGGAAAACTAACTGCATGTAATATCTACAAACTGTTGGGGAGTACAGTTGTAGGTGAAATTCATTCTGTGGAATCAAATGATGTTAATACAAAGCTATGAAATATGCGACTGGGTCATCTTAGTGATCGTGAGATGACGTAATTGCATTAAAGAAACCTGTTGCATGGTGTTAAAAGTTGCAAGCTCGATCTTTGTAAGTTCTGTGTTCTTGAAAACAGACCAGAGTCAGTTTTATGACTGGAAAGCACAAAACTGAAGGGATTCTTGATTATGTGCATTTCTGATGTATGAGGCCCTACCAGGGAATCATCATTGGGAGGATCTCAGTATTTTGTTACATTTATTGATAATTTTTTCAGAAAAAAAATCTGAAGTATTCTCTAAATTCAAGCTGTGGAAAGTTGATGTGGAGAAACAAACTGACAGAAATATTATGTATTTGAGGTCTGATAATGACAATGAGTACACAGATTCACAGTTTCAAAAATTCTGTGAGGAGCATGATATTCTGAGGCATTTTTCAGTGCACAAGACACTACAACAGAACGGTGTTGCAGAAAGGATAAACATGTTCTTAACTGAAAGGACAAGATACTTGAGACTGAATGCAGTGTTTCCTAAGTGTTTATGTGCAGAAGTTGTAAATATGACATGTTATATCATCAATAGATCACCTCATACATCATTGGGTGATAAGGTCGCATAAGAGGTATGGACAGTTAATCCGGTTAATTTTGATCATTTATGAATTTTTGGTTGTCCTACTTATGTGCATGTACATGAAGATGAAAGATCAAAACTTGATGCAAAATTTAAGAAGTGCATCTTTCTAGACTACAAGAAATGTGTGAAAGGATACAAGTTTTAGGATCATATTGCAAAGAAGATGGTGATCAGTAGAGATGCATTTTTTGATGAGTAGTCTATGTTGTAGCAGAATCAAGACAAGGTGTCAGAAAATAATTCCAGTTCAAATGCAGTGCAGATGAATTTAGAACAACATTCATAAACAACTGATAGAGTTGAATGTTCAAATCCAACACCTAGTGATTCAATTCCAGATGATCTGCAAAATCATAATCTAGTCAGAGACAGACAAAGACACACTAATATAAAGCCTCCTAGCAGATTGGGTTATGAAGACTTTGTCTCTTGTGCACCTCTCAATAACAGCGACGATTCTTCAGTTGTGAGATACATTGATTAAGATTATGCATGTAATTTGGATGATAGAAGATCTACAACTGAGTATGTGTTTACTCTTGGTGGAGGGCCTATATGTTAGAAATAAAAAATTCACTCTATTGTGACATTATCTACAACTAAAGTTGAGTACATGACAGTAACTGAAGCTGTGAAAGAAGCCTTATGACTTGCTGGGCTAGTAAAGGAACTGGACGTTGAGCAAGGTGGAGTTCAGTTGCATTGTGACAGCCAGAGTGTTATTTATATAACTAAGAACCAAATGTACCATGCGAGAAAAAAACACATTGATGTCAGGTATCACAAGATCAGAGAAGTGATTGCTTCTGGTGAGATATTATTGCAGAAGGTTCATACTATTGAAAATGCAACTGATATGTTGACAAAGCCAGTTGTTATCAACAAGTTCTTGCATTGCTTGAACTTGTTGAATGTTTGAAGTTGTTAGAGAAGCATGGTGGCCCACTCACTTCAGTGTATAAGAAACTCCATGATGTATTTCTCCTAAGGGGCTGGATAATCGCAAAGGAGGAGATTTGTTAGGTATGACTCATATACCATATAAGGAACATGCTGGAACGAAGCAGAACAGAAGAATTTATAAAAATCAGGGGAGTTTCGTTATGTGGGTTGGGGTGCGGGGGAAACACCCTGCGGTACGGTACAAGTAATTTAGAAATTACATATTGTACTACAGGGTTTTATCTAGAGTTATATATAGACATGTTTGTAACCTTAGGCTGTTTAATGTTGTATTCTGTATCCTGTACTCTTTTTCTGAAATTGAAAGAAAGCCGCAGCTCTGCTCCTGAGGACGTAGGCATCTTTGTCGAACATCGTTAAATCTTTGTGTTTTTCTGGATTTGTGTCGATTTTGGTTTTTCTTCGCCCTAATTTCTCAACACCGCTAATCTGTGCATTCTCTAGGACCTGCAGAACAAGCAAACACAACTCCTATGAGAAAGAGAGTCTTAATCCCCAACAAAGTTGTCAGATTGTTTTTTTTTTTTTGAAAGAGTCGTCAGTCTTTCTATCGTCATATGCTTCTTTTTTATGAGTAAATCTCTCTTCTGGATCATATGGATGATCTTGAGAAGAGAGAAATTAAAAAAAAAAAAAAACAGAGACATACGACAAAGAAGACAAACAAGGGAAAGAAAACATGGAGAACTTACGTGCAATAAACTTCATGTGATAGGTCTAGTGTGTTTGCCCAAACAAGATCAGACGGGAACACCTTGAACCGAATATCCACAAAAGAGTGCCTACGTAAACTACCCATAACCATATATTCAAGTGTGTTTGTTTGTTCTGTGGTCAAGAGCGCTCCTGAGGGGACGTATCCCACTTGATTAATTACATTTTGAGGGATGACCATAAATACTCTTGTTTTTGTTCTCTTTCTCTTTTTTATTTTTTTAAGAAGCCGTCAGCTTGTCTATTTATAATCATTGTATTGTTCATTTATTCGAGTGAATCTCCATCTCAAATAAAATGAATGAACCAACAAGGAGAGGAAACGAAAGAAGGGATATAGTTTTTGCACTTGCCTAGGGTCAATAGCACTCCCAACTTAACATATTCTTTTGATTAATTACATCTTGGGGGATGCCCATGAAAACTTTTGACAACCTTGTTGACCTTGAAATTGATCATCTCATCCTTCTAAATGATCTAGACATGGAGAGCATGGTCACTCTACAAGGAAAAGGGAAGATGCACATGTGTTTAGAGAACCAAACAATGGAATGTGTAGGCCATGTAGACCTCTAGTGTGGCTGAAAGACATATATGTGACAACAGGTCATGGATGCATTTGGGTGGGTGAAAGAATTAGTACACACGCAATTGCAACATAACAACCAAAATCATCAGTTCAAAATAACGATGATGAAAATACAACATAAGCTTTTTTCAGTTTCTGCTGAATTCAGGCCAAAAAACTCACAGAGAGAGAGAGAGAGAGATAGAGAGAGAGAGAGAGGGAACATTAACAGAACAACATACATATATACAAGCTAGCAGTTAATTAGACTCAAGCTGTGCATACCAAATGCCCTTGATTTTAACATCCTTGGGCGCCTTAGCACCGAGATCTGTGTCAGATGGCTGCAAGCTCTCAAACTCCCCAATAACCTCCCCTGTCTCCGGCTTGCTCTTGTTCACAGTGAGACTGATCTTCCCACTACTAGAAGCAGTACTCTTTATATTCTCCTTAGTAAGTTCCTCCTCATCCCCTCTTCCTCCTGCCGGCAAAGCCACCGCGTTGTCATACCCACTGGACCCTCCCCTTCCCTTTGGGTCCAGAAACGACGATCCCCGATAGCTGGGCACCAGAAACTGCCCCCCAAAATTCTCCGGCTTTCCGGTGGCCACCAACTGCTTTACAGTAAACAAAAATGGCACACGCTCACCGCCGGGAAGCTGCACGGTGACCGCAGCGTAGTCGATGCCATCCTTCTCCTCAAATTTGAGAGATCCGTCGGGTGAAACTTCCAGTGGCCCCTCGATCTCGTCGAGTGTGTAGGTGAGTCTGGTCATGAGCTTTGTGGGCTGGAAGTCAGGCGGGGCATTCTTGCTGACTCCCTCAGCCTTGACGGTGAAAGAGGTGGGCTCAAGGCACAGCTTCTTCACGTAGTACTTACCCGGCTTGAAGGCGAAGGAATCCACGCCGCCCTCGATGGTCGGACACTGGTTCGCAGTTCCCGACCCTTTCACCTCCGTATACGTCTTGCTCTGGATCTCGTCGAAGGTCAGCCGCTTGGGTACCCCCTCCGCGTTCGCGCCCTGTAAAAATTCAATTTTTTTTAAAAAGCCATCTTTTACTTAGGTTAAGTGAAAGAAGAAATAGCAGACCGCGACGAGGAGGGCAGAGGTAGCCAACGCAAATCCGGCGAGCTTGGTGGCGTGAGCACACTTCTGGGCGATATCACGAAGATCGGAGCGAATGGTACAGCTAACCCTGCCGCCGCCAGCCGCCTCAAGTCCAAAAGATTTATAGAGTTGCTGCGGAGCTGGCCTTAGCTGCAAACCTGAAACAGACCTCGCCGGATATCCGGCCTTGGAAGGCATTAACGTCGCCGGAGCTTGAAGTGAGGTGGCTGCCATGGTTTTCTTTCTTTCGCTTCTCTCCTCTGGTTCTTAGTGGAGTTACTTTTGTGCTGGGCGTGCAGTGGGGCGGATAAGGGGTTTGGATAAGGGGAGGTCATCCATTGGTGCAGAGGCTGAAGAACAAATTGTCTTGGGTTTGACACGTTATCGTAGTGCTGAGTGGATGGCTTGCGTGGGGCCATCCATCTTCATTGGTTGGACTATATAATCTATCTTATAGATATTTTTAAAAGACAATATCCCTATTAAACATATAGAATTTTTAAAAAGCCTTAATTTTAATGACTAATAATGCTGACAAAAAACTAACAACTAGCCCATATATTTGTCATGAGCAATAGGATTAATATTATTAATAAAAAAAATTATTTAATCCCAAGCTCTTATAGGATGTCCTTCACAGTACTCTCTCTTATTAGAAAACTAATAATGTTGAATCTAATTTTATTTTGTACGTCACACTCGAGGAATAGAACATAAAACTAGAGGAAAAAAAGAGGGAAAGAGGACTGAGCTAAATAACAGTAAAAAGAGATAATTGTAGCATTTCATTCATAAAATGATCTTTTAGAGGCATAAGGGACGTGGTACATAAAATTACATAGGTGCCCCTACTTTTAGTATAAAATGTAATAGATATTTTACCCTAATAAGGCTCAGGTACATAAAATTGCATAGGTGCCCATATTTTTAGTATAAAATGTACTAGATATTTTACCCTAATAGGGCTCAGGTACTTATTGGGTCTTTGGCCCATTAAGTAGGGTGAATAGGGCGACACGATCAACCATATCAACCGACTTCAGAGCCGGGTATGTCGGTCGGCTTGCAATTCGGGTGCAGCCAACCACATTTGGTCCATTGAAGGTGGGTGGATAATGTTGATCCATTTATCAAAAATTCGTTTAGCGAGAATAATTCTCGCCAGTTGGCTTTGGCTTCGAGGGGTCATATACAGCTTGAGCCACCCGATCTTCCCTTAGGGTCGGCTTAGGTCTCGAGGGGTTCTTCGGTTGCTTGAGCTGCCCGGCCTTTGACTGTTGGCAGATTATTAGGACTTCCTTTGAGTTGCTTTCCCAGTGGGTTTTATCTAGTCATGCCAATTCGTTTGAGACAGTTGAATTCCTTTGGGAATCGTGCTGACATGTTTTCAGTGTACAAATAAAAAATCACTTCTCTTTTAAAATAAAAAATAGTAAGCGTCTTTCACTTCACTTCATTCCATAAGTTTATTTCTAGACACATTCCTTCTACTAAACTGATCTATTTAACCAAAACACTTATTGATGGGGGTTCTAAGAATGGAAATGAAATTACTTATTTCACATGTTATAATAAAGTTTGTAGATAAAACTATTATGAGGTCCAAATCTCTTTTCTTAGAGGAAACTAAGAATCCTATACATAGTAACCTTAAAAAATAAGATGGCCTCCTTTATGATGAAGAGTTCAAGTTTATAGATGATCGTCTAATAAATGTTATATGTTGTTTAATTGTAACAAATACTAAAAAAATGATTGAAGAGCGGAAACATTTTAGTATGCAAGTTGTTTATAGTTAGACATTATTAGTTAATTTTAAATAAAAGGAATATTACAATTATCATCTCAACTCACACTATTACTATAGTCAATCTCAAAACCAAATCACAGTAAATCATTTCATGTTAGTAGGTCAGCCACACATCTTTTCTCATCACTAATAAATATTTCAGTTCATATGAAGGTTAACAACCATGAAAATTAAATCTGGTGTGATGGCGTCTTTAATATTGCTCATATCAAATTAGATAGACTCCAAATAAATGAGAATAGTGTAATTTGTTATTATAGAAAAAAATGCTTATTTTATTAAATATGATAATGACATTGTTAATTTCCTACTAGTTAAATCTATGAAAAGAAAACCTATCATACAATTCATTAAATAAACTTTGATTTATAACCTAAATTTAAAAAAAGAAAAGTGTGCTAAGTTTCAATTGATTGTTAAAGAACGTAATTTTAGGAATAATATTATGAACCATAAATAGAGAATAATTTAATTTATCTCCCAATACCTATTATAGTAAAAGAATTAATACATATTTTTTGGAAGACTCTCTCTCTCTCTCTCTCTCTCTCTCTCTCCCCCTCTCTCTCCCTCCCCTTCCACTCTTTCTCTCGTTTCCAGGAAACAAAGAACCATTCTTTGAGTTAATTCTTGACCGCCTGAGAATTTGGAGAAAAAATAGAACAACAAACATGAGCTGTATTAACAAATCCGTCATTTTCTCCCATACATTCCTCCAAAAATAGTCTTTACCAAGCTGTATGAACCCACGAAAAATACATGACCCTAGGTCCTAAAATGATTCAACAAATACATAAATGTTGAGTCATTGAAACGTACGGTGGCAAATAGCCAACCACCTATAAGCGATGACTAAGAATCAAAATAACAAGTGATATTTTAAAAAAGAGTTGAGTTTTTAGGATAAATTTATTAAGATATAATTCAAATTTAAACAGAGTTAGGCAAACCCCACAAGCAAAAGTATCTTCTAAAAGAAGCCACCCAGATACAATTTTTTAACTCATGATTATAGCTTTATTGCATTGGGGAAAGTCATCAAAAGGCATTGGTTCTTGTGACACGAGTCACCAAGATGATGCAAAGAGGGGCGTGATTAGCAGGGAAAAATCATTATGATAGCACATCAAGTTCCTAAATGGGATGTTTGCATTCGTTACTATTACACAGTGCTTTAAGGTTTTAGAAAGCCAAATCGTGACTTTGCAATTATGGCCATTTGAGGTACCATCCTCCAACCCACAGTGCAAAACAGCACTGGGCTAACTCCACGCCACCACCAACAACATTGTATTATAACTCAAAATCAATTAATTCGGAATAAAGCTGCCTCTAATTGAAATTATATAATCATAGGAAAGAAGATTTACATACATACCACTTAGTTTCTATTTATTTACATATCCAACAAGTCAACTTTCAAATTTTTACATACCGCCTTAAATATGCATAAGAAGTTGCATTTCATGTTTTAAACATTCAAATAGTGAAATTAAAGATTTGAGTCGCATAAATGCAAAAGAGTAAAATTTATGAGCTAGATACGTAAATAAATAAGAATTGTGTGGTATGCATGTAAATGCTCTTTAATTTTATAATTGCAGTGTCGCATATAAAACAAATAAATTTCACAAAATCAAAATCGAAAATGCCATGGCATTGAAACACCATACTAAATAACAAAATCTGGTGAGTTCAAAGCATGCAAAATTAAACAAAACAAAGATGATGGCAAAGTTCAGGTGCGCTTAAAATGTTCTCTTATGAACCTTTCAGCGTGAGAAGGATACTTTTGTTTGATGTATGCTCGGAGACATTTCTGATAGGAAAAGTCTATCCAGACACCATCAGTCCTCACAACAAAGAGGCATCTTGAGTTTCTGAACTGAGGATGCCGATCAACCTGATCAACACAAAATTAAAACAAGAAAGACCATGACACACGATAACTTTGATTAGTTTTCTCTCCAAATAGTAGTACCACAGAATTCTTGTGTATTTGTATATCTAGAACCTAAACTTTCATATTTACATGCATAGAACTATAATCTTTAATATCACATCAAGAACATTACAAGTAATTTTTTAGAAGTGAAGAACACATTTTTCATGTGTAGGTTCATGACACCAAAGTATTACCATATTTGTCTATACCACGTTCATAAACAAATATGTTCTATGCAGAAATACACATATTAAAGATTATATGCAAGTAGGCTCATCTCGGTAGGTAGGCAACAATTGCTTTCTTTTGCGTATTCTAAATAAGGAAAACTAATACGCTGTATTGAGCCTACTTGCCGAAGTGATTGAATGAGCTCACCTGGCGAAGTGGATGAATCGGGCCTACCTACCGAGATGGTTGAATTGAGCCTAACTCCCAAGGTGGCTGAATTGAGCCCAACTACCAAAGTGATTGATAGAGCTCACCTGTCGAATTTATTGAATTGAGTCCACTTGCTAAAGTAGTTGAATCTCATCTCTCCCGAGGAGGTGACCTAGCCCACCTAAGAAAGGACAACTATTAGGGAATGTCATCATTACTATCAAGAAAGCATGTCCATTCTCCTTTAAAGGCACCGTTTGACATCTAAGCCATGGGCTTTTCATCAAGGAAACATGGATGGTTGTCACACTGTATCAAGTGTAAGTTCTATTATTTTCTCTTTTTTTTTAATAAAAGAGAAAATCCTTCAAGACAGCATCGGTCTGAAGTCACTCGATGACCTCGTCCGAATCCAAGTGACCTTCAAAATATGGCAATTCCACCGTTACCTCCAAATCCCGACTTCTCATATATTTTAGGGCAACTCTTCGGGGTAGCAACTCTTTATCTCTGAAATCTCTAACAATCAATTCACATTTGCATCCTCTAACATGCATTTCATCTTTTGCATTCTCTGACATACACTTCATCTCTGTAATCGAATGGAGTTCGGTGGCCTTAATGGATAATTTTCTTTCCTTAATTTTATTGAGTCGTTCTAGCACTCCGTAGAGTTGTTGCATCTCTTCCATGATAAACTTTTGATTGGTGCCTGACACTTATCTCGAAGATGGTGTGATTAGGGATTGGGGTTTGGATATGTGGCAGAGGGTGTATATGGATGGTTTGAGTGGAAAAGAAGGGAATTTTTTTTTTTGGTGGAGATAGGTTTGGGTATGTCAGATTCTAGAAACCCTAAGATTATGCTAATTTTGATATTAAATGATACCGGAATTAACTCAAACCACAATAAGAAAATAAAATATTATTATTAAAAATAAATAAAAGGTTACAACCAACACACTTGAAAGGGAAAATACAACAACACGACTCGGAAATCAGAAATAGCAATAGGCATGATACAAACGCAAATAGGATTGACTCCTAAAGGAGGTGGTCGTTGAGTGTTTGGAATGTAGCAAGTGATGGAAAATGGAGGTTAGCAAACAAAAGGGGAGAGGAGAAGCGGCTAGGGAGGCAGGAATAGCAGTCGGTGGTTGTCCTGGGGCGTTGGGATGAAGTATAACAAAGTGGCAGAGAGCAGGGGGTTGCAGGACAGCAAGAAAACAACAGATGTGTTGTTTTCCGTATGTCGGCATCAATATGAATGGCTAGAAAATGGTCGACTGAGGCGAAGGGGAGAATAGTGGCGGCAGTGAAGGCAGAGGGTTGGAACTGCAATGGCAACAAAGAGGAGAGAGGGAAAGGCTAAGGCGGTGGCTGGAATTGCAGAATACAACAATTGGAATTCTATTGCGGGCGGTTACAACAAGATACAGTGAGCGGGAGCGATGTGGGGAGGTGGAATAGAATAAAGAAGATAACCAACACCTCGAGAGAGAGAAACAACAAGAGCACATGTCAATCACGAATGAAAGAAATCAGACAGCTACATTAGAAGTTTTCTATTATTAGGAGCTTCATTATTTAAATTATTCCAATATTTTTATTATGATTTAATTCCCTTTTAGCTGAATATTTAGATTAGAAATATATATTATTAAGTATATTTTGTACATAAAATAGATTGTAAGATTATTATTTAATGGAATGAAAGCAAAGAGAAAAAGACATCGAGCCTATTTAGAATTCAACATAATTTTCTCAAAATTTTGACAACACCACCCAAACCCTTGAATGCAACCCTTAGAGAGAAAAAAACGGATGTTGGCAACTATCTTAAACAAATTCAAGCCAAATACAAACCCTGAGGACTTGAGGTTTCTACTCTCTATACCAATTTGAGCTAATATTCTATGGAAAATAAAACCAGAAATTGAAGAGAAAATTTGTTTCTTCTTATTGATTCAATTCAAGGTGCCTTTACATATAGGAGTCCCTCCTCCTTAGATAAGGAAACTAACTAAATGAGTTTAAATGATTTCCTATTACATTACAAGACTCATTAAACAAGATTTGGTACAGATATCACATAATATAAATAAGGAAGAAAAATAAAATCTGTATAAGAGGAAAGACAATAATATTGTAATTTGAATTAGATCTTTCAACACTCCCCCTCAAATTGGCATGAAAATATCTTTCAGAACCAGCTTACACTAAACCGTCGAACTGTTTTTTGTGAAGACCCTTTCCTAGAATATCTGTTGTTTGGTCGTTAGAGAGAACATACACCATGCAGATATCTCCTCTGTCAATTTTTTCTTTGATGAAGTGTTTGTCTATCTCTACGTGCTTTGTTCTATCATGAAGGACAGGATTGTGGGCGATGGCGATGACAGACTTATTATCACAGTACACCTTTATTGGTGGTGGACTATGAATATTTAACTCCTTGAGAATTCTTTTAATCCATAGAACTTCACATATCACATGAGCCACAGATCTGAATTCAGCTTCAGCGCTGCTTCTTGCCACAACACTTTGCTTCTTGCTCCTCCACGTTACTAAGTTCCCTCCTAGAAACGTGATCTTCTATCTGTAACACTTCCAGCCCAATCTGCATCTGTAAATGCTTCTACCTGTAAGTGATCATTTTTCTTGAACAGTAGTCCTCTCCCGGGTGTTCCTTTCAGATACCTGAGGACACGATAGACAAACTCCAAGTGATGAGTATTTGGGGAATGCATAAACTGACTTACCATGCTAACAGCAAATGTTATATCAGGACGTGTGTGACAAGTAAATTAGTCTTCCCACCAGTCTCTGATATTGTTTTTTATTAACACCATCTATTTTATTTGTCACATGTAACCTTTTATTAGGTTCAATCGAAGTTTCAGCTGTTTTGCACCCAAGCATTCCGGTTTCACTGAGTAAGTCGAGTACATACTTTCGATGATTAATAAAGATCCCCTCCTTAGATCTGACAAACTCAATACTAAGAAAGTATTTTACATCTCTCAGATTTTTAATCTCGAATTCTGTGGCCAATCTTTCTTTTAATTTCTCAATTTCCCTAGCATCATCTCATGTATCATCTAGACAATGAGTATAGTGAGTTTACCAGTTTCTGAATGTTTGTAGAACATAGTATGATCAGCTTGACTCTGAGTGTATCCATATGTTGTAATCACATTTCCAAACCTCTCAAACCAGGCGCGAGGAGATTGTTTGAGCCCATACAAGTATTTCTTTAATCTGCACATTTTGTCTTCTCCAAACTTCTCAAATCCTTGTGGAAGATCCATGAATACTTCTTCCTCTAATTCACAGTTTAGAAAAGCATTTTTGACGTCGAGCTGATGTAGGGGCCAATTACGGTTTGCTGTTATGGACAGTAAAATCCGAATAGAATTGATCTTGGCTACCTGAGCGAATGTCTCATGATAGTCAATTCCATGAGTTTGAGTGAATCCTTTAGCTACTAATATTGCTTTATATCTTTCGATACTCCCATCAGCTTTGACTTTAGTAGTGAAGACCCATTTACACCCAACAATAAACTTGTTTCTTGGTAGAGTGACAATTTCCCAGGTCCCATTTTTCAAAAGAGCATCAATCTCTTCCTTTACTGCTATTCTCCAATTTGGATTACTAAGAGCTTCCTGTATTGTTCTAGGTTCAGACAGATTAGAAATTTTTGACAAAAAAACTTGATGTTTGTGTGAGATTTTTTTGTAGCATAGGTATTTCGAAATGGGATATTTGGTAGTACAAGAACGTGTTCCTTTTCCAAAGGCTATAGAAAAATTCAGATTCATAATCTCTGAATCTTGAGCTTCTGTTGGTGAAAAAATAAGATCAGGATCAGAAATTACCTGTGTTTCTTGAGGACCATCATTCGGTTCTTCAGATTGGGAGGGAGCTAATTTGAACTTTTTTTCTTTTATGGAGCCTCTCCTTAGAATAAACAAGAGGTTCTGCTGTTGTATTATGCGGTATTTCTCCCCCTGTATTAGACAAGATACTTCCAGGTGTCTCTTGACTAGGGTTCTCCTTAGTTTCAACAACTATTTCAGGTTCTTTGTTTTCATAGACCTCAGGTGTACTTGATGTAACAACAATTTTTGGTAATAGGTCATAAACTTGCCAAAAATCATCTTCTTCATCTATATCATACTCCCTCTGAAGTGGATTTTTGTGAAAGAATGGAATTTTTTCCATTAAGATCATATCCATACTAATGTAAATTTTTTTTGTGACAGGATTAAAGCATCTATAACCCTTTTTGTTTGAGGTATACCCAATAAAAACACATTTTTAAGCTTTGTGTTCAAGTTTTGAGCAAAATACATTTGGGACATGCACATAGCAAATACATCCAAAAACCTTTAAAGGGAGATCAGCTGTTATTTTAGATGGGAAAAATAATTTTTCATGACTTGTAAATGTGTTTTAAATTTCAAAACTCGAGATGACATTCTGTTTATTAAATAACAGGAGGTAAGAAGTGCATTACCCTAAAGATATTTAGGAACATTCATGGAAAACATAAGTGTCCTGTTAACTTCGAGTAAATGTCTATTTTTTATTTCAGAAATACTATTTTGTTGTGGCGTGTCACAACAAGTAGATTGATGTAGAATACATTTTTCCAAAATAAATGCTCTCAAATATTTGTTGAAAATATTCAGTCTCATTATCCGTTCTTTTTGAATTTTGAATTTTGAATTTTGAATTTTGAATTTTGAATTTTGAATTTTGAATTTTGAATTTTGAATTTTGAATTTTGAATTTTGAATTTTGAATTTTGAATTTTGAATTTTGAATTTTGAATTTTGAATTTTGAATTTTGAATTTTGAATTTTGAATTAGATCCTTCAACAATATATATATATATATATAAACAGAATAACTAGGAGTGGCCCACGAGGACCAGCCGACTCCTCATAAGGAAAGCAAAGTTGGACATTTTCGTCCTAGGCAAGCAGTGGGTCGGATCCCGCATCCGTTTTTTTTCAATGCCACCCCATGTCAAACTATTATTAAATGGTATGTGACAAATGGAGACAACATCGATATCTTGCATCAAACTTGGATCTTGGATGTCCTTCTAAGTAGATGGCCAGACTACATAAATATGGAGGTTTCGGGCCATCTGCTTGTTTCAAAACTACATGATGATGGTATGCGGGAGCCCTGCAAGTTGCTGCATTACTTAAATAATTAATTAAATTTTAACTTCATTCCCGGACAAAATGACCACCCCAAGCCTCTTTACAAGTTCTCTGCGCAAATAATTACTGCTCTTGTATATGATGCTAATTTCCCGAACACTAGCGAGAGTTTTGAATGGATAGGAAAACTTCAACTCACCCACGAGAACAGTCATAGATGCCAACCCAAAAAATATGTGGATTGAATTAAGAGGACTTTTAGAGTGGATGCATCAGAAGTTATCATTCTATAGACGACCAACCACATGTGGTAAGCTATTTTTGAAAGTCCTATAGATCCTGAGAAAATGAGTATCCACATGCCTATATTCAATAACCTTGATGAAACCATCAAAACAATCTCCAAGTCTAAAGAAATGAATGAGGCCTTAGCTCGGACTTATTGTGTTGCCATTCATCATTGCTGGAGGGCACACAATGCTAAGACTTATGGTAGAGCATATCGCACTCCTACAATTATAGCTGCTACTATACTTAGGGTCTGTTTGGGGTAGCTGCAGTTTTTTGCATAATCTGCTGATAAGCTGATTAAAAATAATATGCTGATAAGCTAGGTGCGGTGACTATAAAAAATTTTTATTTTTATGGAAAAGCCAGACCGCTACCAGATTCAAAAAGCATTGTGAAAACGTTGTTTTCAGCATTTTCAAAAAGCATAAGCTGCCAAAACGCAGTTTATCCAAACAGTCCAGGTGCATTTTCAAAACGTCACCGCACCAAATAAGCTGCCCCAAACGGACCCTTAAATCCATAACAAGAAAATCGGCATATCCTCTATGGAGCACTCAACATTAGCGAACAATCCAGCCTGTCTCAATCCCCCTAGCTAGCTTGGTGATCATCGTTAGAGACAAACAAGGGGAACGCTTGATCCTTGCAAGTGTTCAGCTTGAGCACTAGGATCGTGCCAAGGTGGAGCTAAAGTTGATTACCTCCACTAAAGCCATCTTGGAGCCGTGGATGTTTGAAGCTAAAGGAGTAACTGTTAAAATGCAAAAATAGGAATATCATTAATCTTCTTGGGCAGACTATGGATGCAAAAGCATGGCAAGCACGACCTCAAGATAGTATGGATTTTGCTTTCCTTACATTTTAAACAACTGCATTGTCATTTTTTTTGCAAAGATTGCATAAAGCTGCCCATTGCTCTATAGGAGAACTTTTTATTGAAGATATAGAAGAGTCTCATGCTTTTTTTCTTTTATTAGATTTGACGGATCTCATCATGTAAATGCCTGGTGACATCTTTTTCATATTTTGCTTTTATTAATAAGATGCAGTAAGCAACCTTTCTAGGATGAGTCAAAATAAGGAAAAATTCTCCTACAAAATAGATGCCTGACAACAATGAAAATATATTCTCAAAATTGAAATTTTACATAAAGAAGTTCCCATTATAGAGAAGAGAAATGGGCATGATAATTTAGATATCTCTAAATAAATGAAAAGAGTTGGTTTACCGTCAAACATAAATGGTTATCTGAAATAAAAAGTATCAGAACCTTTATGAAAAAGGAGCAAAAATAAAATATTCGAAGCCTAACTATATCTTAATGTCATTAATCTCCTAAGAACTTCCTTGAAGGATTGAGGAATCTCGGCCAAAGGATAGCAGATGAAGGTATTCATATCATAGTAATCGCAAGGCGGGGTGTTAGCAAATTGAACCAAAGGTGGTGTAAGAACAATCACGATAAGAGAAAATGACCAAGGGGCAGGTGACAAATAATGGCAGAAAAACCTGATGCACAATCAGATCAAAACCACAAGAAAGCCAACCCAGACTCTAAGGATTGAGAAGACATGAGAGCCAAGTGCACTACCTTAAGATGCATGCTCCTCGCAAAGAGATGGAGAAATTGCAAGGTGAACAAAGTGATCACGTGAGGAGAGCATGTGAGCAAATGATGATGATGATGATGAGTGATAGAAAGAGCAACAAGTGCAAGGCCATACCACAATCATAGTTGATACAAGGAGCAAGGCTTACGAGTGTGTTCAGGCACACTCAAATCCAAAAGGAAAGCAATCGCAACAGTTACAACTTAGAACAAGCGCCCTCGGTGGAGTGAGTAAATGAATTTATAATAGGTATTATTGCTCATGAGTCAACCACTAGATCTCGTCTACATTAAAATGCACCAAAGACTTGCCCTTTGGGATTGTCGTATCATTATGAACACCAAATAATATCTCTTACAAAAGATGAGACCCATTGAAGGCAACAAATAGTCTCTCTCTCTCTCTCTCTCTCGCTCTCTCACATCTCAATATCAAAAGTAAATAGAGATTAAAATAGAGAGATAGAGTTAAGTAGAGATAATGGAGAGCGAAGAAAGGTGATCTCTATGATCTCTTTGTAATATAGAAGTTGAAATATCGAGAAGCAATACCTAGACATTATCATTGAAAGGGTCAACTTGGTACTAGCTGAGACAAACGAACAAAACAAAGATGCATTATAAAATAAATGCATATTTTGTATTTAAAATATAAATAACAAAGACAAAATATAGATCATCAGAATAAATCATTAAATATTTTATGTTATTATTAATATTTTTTAAGTATCAGATCATGAATAGTCATGTACTAGGCATGGCTTGAGTTCACATTAAAATGTAACCTGCACTTGTTAAATTAAATTTTAATAGAAGTTTAATCTAGGTACTATCCAGTTCAAACAAAGATCCTTTACGCAACAACATTAGCATAAAAGACAAATCACTCCTGTGAAAACAAAATTCAATGATGAGACTTGGAAATAAAAAGAGAAGTTGGTAGCTTATCAAATGGCAGGAATATAAAGAACGGCAATTTTATCAAGTGTTATGAAGGGCCAAATGAAATAATTTAAAAGAATCAACCCGTAGAATCAATGAACTTCCATAAAATCAGACAAGAAGTAATGAAATGTTGTATGCTTGACCTGTTTATATATCAGCTAAGAAATTGAAAACAGCTTAACTGGAAAATCCTAGTTTACCATTATAGAATCTATGCCACAGCCAATTTTATCTACTGCATGAGGATGGTAGGCAAGAAGCTTCTCTAAAACTACTTTCTCATCTTCTGTACTAAGCCGCTCCCCATCCTTATATCTGCAAAAATTTATTAGTAGCTTTGAGAAAATAATTTAGAAGACTGATATAAAATTTTATCAATAGATTAAATTCCCTTAAGTTGAATTGTTTAAAAGAACTGCATACAAGAACCACATGAAATTTGTTTAAGACAGTTTTTCACTTCCTTACAAGTCAGATCGAACTTCCAAAGAATATTGCTATTCTACAAGAATCTTGAAATTCAACCAAATTTTTGGATGATAAACCAATAAGTGATCTCTCCTTACAATAAAACATAAGAGAAACTAACAGTTAGCATATTAAAGGTTTTTCTTTTAACAGAATTTTGAAGTGACAAGTGGCTGCTAACAATTGTTTTTTTTAAGATAAATAATTGAACTTAAAAAAAGTCCAAGTCGACATGTTCCAACAAAGATTATAAAAATAACATCTTCATGATAATCTAACGCACTTGATCAAAGAAAAATGGGGTTTGTACCGCCTTGATTTTTGAAAAATGGATGTAAGGATAATTCGTCCTTCCTGAAAGTGCAAGGATGCTACTTCCACTCCTGTCCACAATCAGCCTGAATTTAGATGCAATTACCATTTACCCAAAGGAAAGGATCCAAAAGGAGGGTGTTAATCTAACTATCCATGGGCAACGCCAAAACATTGCTGGCAAAGCTTACAAGGTTCCAAATAACAAAGGACAGAAAGAATATCCGAGAAGAAGTACAGTAGATGAGGAAAGAGAAGGATAAGTTTATTTTTACAGAGAAAGAAGCTTTGAAGCAAGTAACTACTACCCCCAATTATGTTTTCACCTCGTGCCCAAAAATAGCCCTTCGACCCCTTATTTATAGGGTTTTTGGGTTACTAGAAAAGCTATACTATGACTTTGTAAGAAATGAAAAAAAAAAATGATAAGACTTTTTATATACATGTGGATATATAGAATCAAAATATTAGATGGAAACAACGTTGTCTTTATCATTGATGCAAGCCACCCATTGGGAGGTTGAGGTTGCTGGACATAAGATGAAATAGCTGATCAGAGATGAAGTCACACATCTTTTAGGCAAAGACACTGATTTTTTGGGTAAGATTGCATCATTTAGTAGACTCAATTCTCTCTTAGAAGTATAATGAATAAGAAATCTCTCACCTTTCCTCTCCTCTTACAACACTTGAAGAAAAATCCTCTCTTCTCCAATTCTTATCTTCGAGTGAGTACCGCATGAGGTGGGGCTAGTGAACCCAATCCTTAGGTGAGTGCCCCTTAAAGCGTGGAAAGTGAACTAGAGAAAGTTCATTTCGGCGAGCCCCTTAGATTTTTGAAAAGCCTATCTTCCTGACTTTTTGAACCTTCATTAATCACCTTATATTAGATCGATCTAGTTAAACTATGTTCTGAGAATATTTCAGCACAATTTAATTCATTGATTCTCTTATAACTTTGAAGAGTGACTAGCAAAAAAAAACAAGTGAAGTAAATAAAGCACTTACTTTTATTGAATATTGTCTTGAGTGGCTAAATTTAAAAAATGACAATACATCACAATAATATTTGTATTGATTTGACAATTGCATATATCAGCATCAATAATGCCTAACAAATATCGACATAACCCTCTCATTTGGGGCATGAACTTCTTCTTCACCCCCATCCTTACTTGAACTCTTCAACTTTATTCCTCTTGAAATAAGAAAGTTGTAGCACAAGTAAATAAGGCCATGATATTGCTGACCGCGAGTTGTGTAAAAGTATTCCATATAACTACAAAAAATTTTAGCATAACAAGATTGTCAAAATTTTAGCCATCTAACTACAAAGAACATAAGATTGCTCAAAAAGGGGATGGGCAGCAGGTGAAGGATACTAACACAATTATCACTCAAGTTGCCTCTACGTAATGTTATCAAAATGCAAAGCGCAGTGCGTTACAAAAGGCTTTATTTTTACTTTAAAACACAAGCGCAGTGCGTTACACAATGCTTTATTTTTACTTTAAAACACAAAGCGCAGAGCAAAGCGGCACTTTTATTAACCAAAGTGATGCTTTTAAATAACTTCAAGCCAAACATTGAAGACAATCCTGCAAATCAAAATTTCAAATAATTTTTAATAGTTTACTACAATAATTAAAAATTAAAATATTGCAAAAAAATCTTAAAATTTAACAACTTAAATTTTAAACATAAATAAATTTTGAAATTTTATAAATAAGCTAAAGTAAATTACTTGTCTTCATCATCTCTTTCATTCACACAATCTCTTTCACCTTCATGTAGAATTTATTCATTCTCAAAAAAATTTTCTTCCGCTTCTTATTTTTGTGAATAAATTTTATCTCCTCCTTCCGGCACAGACGAAGGGGATACAGGTTGAGTGAGCTCTTCATCATTATAGATGAGCCCTCAAATTTTCTTCCCAACTAAACTTATAGACCTTTTTCAATCAATTTTTCCCAAAGTTTCTTCAATGTCTCCAAATAAGATTCTCGCCATTAAATTGTTGCTCACCAACATCTTCTATTTCTCCAATCAACAACTCACAACTTTCATCGATTTTTTCCAAATTAATCAAATAAAGAATATCCCTTAATTTTAATCTTCTGTTAAAAGCTTGATTATACTTAATGAAACTAAATTATTTAAATGCTTTTAGTCTAGTTGATTTCTCTTTTCACATGAATTTGTAAGAAAAATAATAATAAAATGAAAACATGCAATATATAAGTTATTAATTTATTTAAATTTTTTAAGTTATTAGCATGCTCTAAGATACTCAAATTTCTCTCATAATCAACAGCACTGCAAGTTAATCATAATATTTCGACAGTCAATTTTTATAAAATTGGAATCGATGTACCATATATCTCTTACCACTCTGATGTTATCATTATAATGTCATGTTGAAAAAAATATATTTAATTAAAGACCAAAAATAAGTTAGAGATTTGAACTAATCATAATTGGAGCTTTCTTATCTCCATTATATAGATGGTGTACTTAGTTGCAAAAATACTACCAGCGCTATTATAAATAAAAAATTATTGATCTCTTATCATTCTTTCATTTGAATCTTTCATTAACCTACTAATAACTACATATACGCCTTCCATCAATGATGCATTTGATTGTATCATAGACTTACTCTTATAAAAAAATTTTAGATTAAAATAATATCCAACTTGATGTAATCGTTATCGGAATTAACACTTTTATCTATTATACAAAATCTGCCCATACTTTTTCCATCTCATCTAAACGCACCATCAATTGCATTCTTGACTTTATCCATTCCACCCATTATAGGTTGTTTGTCACCATCTATTAATCTTAACATCTTCAAAATTTGGTTTGTCAGCTTCAACTGTAAAATACATTATTCTAAAGGCTAGATTTAAGGATAATCTCCTTAACCTTTTTTTCCCTTATAAATAATACAAAATGTAGACTTATTCCAATCTTCATAAACAAATATAATCCTTAAATTTTCATTTTGCTTATATATGTTGGCAAGACTGAGAAATGAAATTGAAAAAAGAGTGATACTTAATTTCACCAATTATGCATTATTAGTGTATTTTCTTGTCATTTTAAGAAAAGGTTTATGATTGTATATGTAACCAATTAACTTCAAAGTTTCTTATAGTATTTTTTACTTTACCAACCTTTCTAATATCCTGTAACATAATATTTAAAAAATATGTTGCATAATGTGTCCAATATATGTGTGTCATTTTTCCATAGTATATATATATATATGTATATATATATATATATATATATATTCTTTAATTTAAAGAAAAATAAAATATTTATTTATTAAATTATAAATAAAATAATTAAAAACCTACTAGAATATAACTAGAGTGATTATTCAACCACTCGAAACATATTCTTTTTTTCCTATTTTTTATCGTGCATCTAAAATTTCAAGGAATTCTACTGCAGTTTTTGAATAATCAGATGCATCTATGTGCTTTAAGAATACAGTTCTAAAAGTGAATTACCTAAAAAATTAATTATAGATCACTTTCTACGATCAATATATACATCAAAAGCGGCAAGAACAACTGCCATGACCCATAATCATCAATTTGGTTCCCGACATGACCCCTAATCATTAGTTTGGTTCCCACCGATAGAGGATATGTACATGGAACCCCTATAAAGACCTATCCTCTACCAGGTAAAAACGCACCAATGAACTCAAAGAGGACCGCAATCATGATAAATCTGAACAACCCGGTATGTTCAAATTTAATGAGCAAAAGGCCCCCTAGTTCGGATATCAACAAACAAAAAGGCTACGTCCTGCCCAGCAAAATCGACAATGACAATTTACTTTCCCTTTTGTCGCAAGCCCTCTGATTACATCATTTTCATTTGTTAGCCTTTCTTTTCTGAGCAACAACATTCTAACTGAATCCATTTTGATTAAATATTACAGGACTCTCCTCCGCTCTATTTATGGACCCTTGGACAAAGTGTTATTGTGACAACTGTAGAGAAAGCCATAAGACGAGTGTGTGTTTTTGTCTGAATTCATAATTGCACATTTATTCTTATTTATTAAAATTATTGTTAATGATATTACACAACATAGCTAATATCAAAAAAGTAAACAACAATGTTTCTCCTTTTTCAGTGAATCTCTCAACTAGTCTTATCTGAGAAGTCCCTCACACATCCCAATCATGGTATGTCAAGGCATGTTTGTGCGGGATGATAGGTTCACGGGTTAGCGTACTTGTTTCTAAAATAATAGGAAGCGATATATTACATTATGTTCATTTTCTTTCTGTTTTTGCTCTCTATTGTTCTAAGCAGCATTAGGTAAAAGTTATTCTTTATTTAGTTAGGAGAGTTCATGCAAGATCGAGTAAGTTATTCATTTTTCTAATCCTCATTGTTCGAGCATAATTTAAATCACCAAATAAGTGGTAAAATATTCCTAGACCACAATTTAAATCTAACAAGTACTTCTGAAGCTAATCAATGCTCACATGATTTCCTCTAATCAAGTTCATTGACCTCAAAACCTTCAGGCGAGCTCACTCAGGTAGAAACTTTCTATCAAGCTTGTCGATAGCTACCAAGACAGATCACATAGCTCAATGAACACTTTTTCAAGAAAGAAGGAGAAGATCTCGATATCACATCATGCATGCTACCATTTATTATTAGCTGCCCGACGCCCACACCAAGGACCTTACCAACATAGAGTATGCTCCGGCTCCATAGTGTACAACCTATGATATAATTTTTATTTATTCTTTGACCCCTGCACGGGACATGTACGAGATCTAAAAAAAAGAGGGGCTCTCTCTCTCGGACTCTCTATTTTTTCGCTCTAAAAAATCCCCCTCCTTCCAACTTCTTTCACAAGATCTCTCTGAGATTGTATGGGTTCATGGATTATATGGGATCAGAACTCCTAAAGGGATTCAACAATATTATTTCTCTTATTTTCTTTGCCCTTCAAAAGTTAATTTTGATCCCAAAAAAAATGTAGTAGTTCACTCTCCAAGCCGAAAAAAAATGCTGAAAAACTTTGTACTTCGCATGTAACAAAGAAGTTTAGTGCAATTCCCAATAAGGAGCTTTAGGTAGTAGAGATAAGCTTGATTGATTAGTAAAACGGTCATAAATTTTCGTGTGCTTGGACGCACAGAACTTCCCATTGTAAATTCAAAGCAACGAGCAAGAATCACAAAGGTGATTTCCTCAACCACACTCGCTCTAGTCCAATGTATTTTCTTTGCCGCAATTTCCACATTAAAGACAGCGAATTTACAGAAAAACGGATTTACCTATCAGAGTGCAGAATGTCCTTTGTAAGGAACTTGATTGGCTCGATGTCTAGAAGAATCTCCCCCTCCTTTTCCTTCCACCGCCGGTTGTCCGGATGGTGCTCCCACGTATTATCCTTCTGTTTAGGCGGCAAGGGCGGTGAAAGCCCTCTCACTCCGCCTGCACCAACCGCTGCAGAGACCTCGCGAACAGAGACGGCGGGCTCCGGCTGCTGCGGCGTTCCAAGCGTGGTAATACCGACGGAGCACCGACGTGGAAGCGCGGCCCTCAGAGCTCGAGTCCGGAGGTGGGGGAAGCCCCTCAGGCGGAGAATCGCGGCTGCAGAGGCCATTGGAGCGCCGACGAACCAAACCCGAGTTCCGCCCAATCTGTCTAGGAGAAAAGTTTGCTTACTGGTTAAGTTAGTTTTAGCTAGTTTACACCGAGCGTTACACCGAGCGTATTGGAGTTATATCAGCCTTATATCTTCTATATTTTTTTGTAAACTAATTATAATTTACAAATATATGAAAACAGAAGTCGGAACTTACTATTTACAGATAGCTTATAAGGAGGTCACATATAACGCGGATATAACCATTAATACCTTCCATGTAAACTACCTGACGTACGCAGTGCTGCGTACGCCTTACGCACGCAAAGTTTTCTCATCTAGGAGACTCCCTCCGAAGGCCTCCACCACGCTCCAGCTCAATTCAACGTGATATCTATTTAATTCTTTGGGATATTGTTTGAATTCAATTTATTTGAATTCAACTTTATTCAAATGTGAATTTGAGATTTATTATTTGTTCAATGCCGACGTTTAAATGAAGCATAAATTTAAGAAGTTTATTAGACAATAACATGCAGAGATAATATCATATTGAGTTTAAAAATTAAAATTTTAATGATACTGGCCTTTAAACATAACTTAAAAATAATGCTCCTTTTAAGTCAGACTTGTCAAACAATCAGTGTGTCTGTGCATGACGTACATAAAAAAATATGTTAGTGCAAATCTCACAAGGATTTAACGGTCGATAATGAAAAAATCTGATGAATGAAGATCTCCTAAAAGGAGATCGTGAGACCCATTGAGCCAACAAAGTCAAGCTAAATGAAGTGTCTGCAATGCAATTTTTAGGGATGAGGGTGACCAAGGTCTCCTTCCAGGAATTCAACATGTGTTGAAACTTAAAAGAATTGATGGAAGGAAATCACCAAGAGTGAATATTGCAGCTTAATTTGATTCAACACGAGAGAGATTGATAGACTGGAAGTTCTTGATTTTTGGGGTGGTGGTGCATGGTCGTTCTTAGTTGGTGGAGCAATTTATCTGATTATTTCTGTTAACGAACAAGATCTTAGCTTGCTAATTTTAGGGGTGTCGAAAATTGACCCGACACTAAACTCGACTTGAAAAATCCAGGTTAGGTTGACCCAAATATTTTTCGAGTCGGGTTTGGGTCAGAGAATTTGATCCGTTTATTATTCGAGTCTGGTTTGGGTTGAACCTGAAAATCAAAACATGACCAGAATAAACATGAAATTTTTGGTTGCGTTCATTTTTGTGTGTCAAGTTTGGGTTCAGGTTTTAGTTTTTGACCCGTTTATTATGTGGGTTGGGTTTGGGTTGACCTTTTCTCGGGTCAGACCCGAACCAGACTTGCTGACCCGAATTGACACCCTAGCTAATTAGCTATGTGGAGTTCAACTTGTAAGACCAGCTTCTAAGAAGGAATATGATTGTTAAGGCCATGAAAGGTTGAGACAATAATAGGTATGTGATGTCCTTAGATGTTATGGGTTGCATGGTTGTGTTGGCATCAAATTTTTATGTCACAAATACCAAATGTCCTTGTGATGTTATGGGAGCATGTGGCGCTCATGTGTGCCATCCCGTAGCTCAAGGAATCCATTGTGATGTTACCAGCTGCATGTCGTCTCTGGACTAGGGTCTCCCCGTCCAGGGTGTGCCCGAAAGTGACTACCACTGACCCATAATGATTCCCCATTCTAGGGTTAAGCCGAACGATTGTTTTGAGGCCTATGTGTTCCGTTCTGATTATAGAGAGCTTTATGTGATGTGAAATACGCTTAACAGACTCCCGGAGCGAAAAATGACCCATAAAGGTCTCGAGTGACCATGTCAAAATTGGGTGTGGCCAAGCCTAACCCCTCCCCTTACAGGTTGAGGAGGCTGCCTTCGGGGTAGCCACACTCGAAGGTGGCTTGATCATACTTCAAGACAAAGCCCACGTCGTAATTATGTTGTGTGACAACTTGGACATGCCATACCTCTTAGTAGTCGTGTGAAAGTTACCTTCGGCATAGCCACGACCAAAGGCGACATACTTATGACATAAGGCAGGAGCCTGGTGTAATTACACCTTGGTGTTAGCGTGACCACGCCAACCCCACGAGCAAAGCAACGTGAACAAGCCGACCTGCCCATTTTTCAAAATTTGGTATGGCAGCCCAGGGAGGTGTGACATTTGGAGCTGAAATTGCAGTGCCTCCTTGGCCTTGGGGAGATCTCCTTGGGATTATGAAAGGCTGGAGGCATTAACCCTTTTTGGCATGTCGTAATTGCCCTTGATTAATCATTTTGACTTAATTAAGGGGCACTTTTGGGATTTTGCATGGAGAAGCTGGTTTATTTTCACCTCTCTGCCTCATTCTCCTCTATCAACAAACTTTAACACTTTTTGCCTCCTCTAAGAGCTGAAATCTTCTTCTTCCTTGAAGCTAGGGTTTCTTCTTGAAGGCCTTGAGGTGAAGAGCTATAGAGAAAGATGAGAGTGAGGGTTTCTTTCTCACAACCCTCTTCTTTTTCTTCTTCCTCTCCTTCTTGATCCACCATAAAAAGCAATCTTCTTTTTCCTTCACCATTCTTTGAGTGTGTGAGGATAACTTCTAAAGGAGAAGTGTGACCAGCAAGGAGCGAGACTTCTTCTCTCCTTCATCAAAGGAGAGTTTCATCCTAGTGTGGGATAGGACCGCCGAAGCTTCGCAAGAACTTCGTTGGAGCTCAAAACTTTGCCAAAACTTTATCGTCTCTCCTACTACTAGGAAAGTTCATCCTCCATGAAGAAATACAACATCAAACACCACATTGGTGAGGTTTCATAAATCTCTTTACATTCTCTTTCTTATCTATCCTTAGGAATAGATTTTGTTGCGTGTTTGTAGGTTCGGTCGACTACACGAGGCAGGTCTGAACGAACACCCGGTATCGTCTGACTATTGTCAGCCGACCAACTTGCCTAGCGTGAGCGACCAAACTCACAACGGCACCACAAAGCTTGTTAATCGAAAGATGTATGATTGGACCAAATAGTATTGTTCTGCCAATTGGATCATCCAATAATGGGTGATCGATTCAGCTGAATGATATTGGATGACCGGTTAGACTCGTCTCGTGTGTGCGACCAAACCCACAACAACCTAGCAAAGTCTATTCCTAAGGCTGGCTAAGAAATAAAAAGCAAAGGGACTAAAGGAATCTCAATATCGTGGAGGTTGAAGATGTGCTTGTTCTAGTAGGATGAAGCTCTCCTATTAATAGAAGAGTTGATGAAGCTTCCTTTCCAAAGGAAGGATGATGCTCTCCTGTGAAAGGAGATGGAGGCTTCTCTAAAGATTTGATGAAGCTCTCCTTTGTGGAAGGAGATAATAGCTCAGTCCTCCTTCTCAAAGTAAGAGGAAGCTCTCCTTTTCGAATGTAGTTCTTCAAGACACTCACACACACACTCTTTTGTAGAGAATAAGAGGTTTAGTAGAGGAGATGAGATAGAAGAAGAAGAAAAAAAAAAGGAGAGGAAGAAGAATGGCTTTCTTTCTAGCACCCTAAGTTCTCTCCTTAGCTCTGAAGAAGTCTCTTCTGTCCATGAATGAGCTCACCTACCCTATTTTCGGATTGGCCACTTACTACAACAAGAGGCTAATCAAATTGGAGGGAAATTTCCCTCCAATGCTTAAAATATGATGGAAATTCCACATTCCATTCACCTCTAGGTTCTTTAGGAGGTGGATGCCACATGTCACACTCTCATTTAACCACTGAAACTTATGATGACCAATGGGAAGTAGCCAAGAACGAGGGAGTAAAATGTCAAAAATTTCAGCTTGTTGGACTGTAGGCTCGGCATGACCACGTCTTGTTGGCATCAATTTTTGATGTCATGAGTGCAGGGTGTCTACCTGCTTGACTCAGGATAGTTTACGGTCTGTCCGTGACGTCCGATAGTTCAGACACCCACCCGAGACCTTTTTGGCACGTGTTGAGGGGCACGTAGCCAGAGTCATTCTGCTAGTCTTTGACTTTCACTTATATGAAAGTCGGTCGGCATTTGACACGTCAAACGACTCCGATCGGGAAAAAAAATATTATGTGGCACGTTGCGCGCGATTTTGGCTCAAATTGACCCGTTCGTTGGCGAAGTTATCTAGATGACCCTGGATGATGAAATGGACGCCGCCACTGTTTCCGGAACGTCGATTTTACTTACGGGGGATGTCCACTTCGCTACGGCTTCGCGGGCGAGGTAAAAATGCGCGAATTATCGTTTTGGACACAATAGTCAAAAAAGTGGCCCAAACGACCCCGAATGACGAAACAGACTGCCCCAACGCGTCCGAAACGTCGATTTTAGCCAAGCAGGACGTTCACTTTGCCGCAAGGACGTGTACGGGGGAAGAATACACAAATGATAATTATAATAATATAATTATTATTTTTATTATAATATTATATACATATTATTATATATATATATATATATAGCCGTCCCCACCCTCCAGCCGACCTGCCCGAGCTCTCGATCTTCTCTCTCGTGAGGCCGGCCCAAGCTCCCTCGCCTGGATTCTCGCCGCCTCCCTCGCTGGATCCTCGCCGCCGGTCTCGCAGTCGGCCCTCCCTCTTCAGGCGACCAGAGCTGAGCCCCTCACCTCCCCCTCCGAGAGAGAGAGAAAGAGAGAGAGGTTCTCTCTCCTACCTTCGGCCGGTCCCGCCAGCAAAGCCTGACGCCGGCGGCCACATGCTGAGTTTCTCCTTAAGCCCAGCCGCTGGTGACTTCAGCTCCTCCCTCGCCGGTCTCCTCTCTCGTTCGAAGCTTCCCCTCGACGGCCCCCTGCGACGCCGAGAGCCGAGCTCCCGCCTGCGTCCCCGTGGGTTTCCTTCTTTCGCCGTTATCAAGCGACCCTCCTACAAAGGTATATGTTTCAGACTCATTTCTTAGTCAAATATTTTTATGCTAAAGATGCTTATTTTCATATACTTCGCATACCTCTTGCTCTCACAACCTCCTATGCCTTTTTTGTTGTCTCATGCACGCCCTACGAGACACACTGGAGCATGGATTGGACGTCGACGAGCTTGGAGCAAGCAAAGAAAACACATCTACAACTGTCACGGTGGTGAGAATTTCTACCT